GTATCACTCTCCTTAACTTTTTCCGTAATTTTCATTCTCTACATTAATTTATGCAAGTATTGAAGAATTTAAGATAAAATATACAAATATAAAAATAGATTTCATTTAGTCTAGGTATAATTACCCATATATACATAGATTTGTAATATAGCTAAGGACACTAATTTTCTTATTAAAAAAAGGAATATATAAAACTTAGAGAACGGAAACCAGCATTGAGACTTCAGTCCTGAAACTAGGAAATTACACTACTAGAAATAGGCTGCATTTAGGTCAAGACCACTAACCGAATAGGTCCATATTTTGACCGAACAACATTTACTTTGGTCAAATTTAATGACTGAATTGTTGGTCCAAATATGCTCTGTATGAAATAGAATTTCGGAGAAAATTTCATCTTAACCGAAAATCAAGTTTATTTCGGTCAAGCATCTTGACCAAACCTTTGATTGAGAAATCAATAAAAAAATCTTATATTCGAATAGATACAATGATCGAAATATTTAATTATTTTTAATCATATATTTCGGTCAAACTAATTGATTGAACTATAAGTTTGTTTATAATTTTTGTAGAAATTATTCTGGTGAAGCTAGAAATGAGGGTATTCCTAGTAATTTACATTGCATGTTTTCGGTCAATTACCGTGACTGAAATAATGTCAACAGAAATTTTCAGCCAAAATATTTTGGTCAAGATGCTTGACCAAAATAATGGCTGGATTTTTTTGGTAAATATAGTTGGGAATATTTTGGTCATATATCTTGACCGAAATATATTCAATTCAAATTTCAATACATAAAATATATGCATTATTTCGGACAATAATTATGACCGAAATAATAAAGCAAAATGCCAAAAAAAATTATTTAATCAATTTTAATTTAAATGGTAAAAATTATAATAAAATTTGGTATTAAAAAAATGGTTTAAGTACCATTTTGGTCCCTCAACTTATCACTTTGGTACCAAAATTGTCCCTTAGCTTTAAAAAGTACCAAAACTATCCTCAAACTTTCATTTTCGGTACCAAAATGATCCTTCTGTCAGTTAAATGCCAGGTGGCTCGTTAAAATGCCACAAAATCATTAAACTTTTTGAATTTTAATGATGTGTCAATCCAGCTAAGAAAATTTTTTATACACGTGGCATATTCTTTTACACATCATATTATCACTTTTTAACTTTCTCTTTTAATGGGCCCATGTAACTTTTTTAACTTTTCTTATTCTTTTTCTCCTCTCTTCTCTCTTCTTCTTCCTCTCCAGATCTGGGTTTGATCAAACCCAGATCTGGGTTCTTTCAACCCAATAAGAACAATCGATGGCAATGGAATCGAAACCACGCAACATCATCTTCAACACAAATCCACACCAGAACGGAGGGTTCTCTCCACACCTTGAAACTCCAAAATCCATAGATTACATTCACATACGAATCCACAAGCAAGATTCAACAGACACCAAAATTAGGGACGATAAAGCAAACCATAACAATCCCAGCTTCGCACTTGATGCCAATCACAATTCTAAAACAACAGAAAAAAAATTCCTGAGGAAATTGAAATGACAAGCTCAATGCACAACAAAACAAACCCACTATTATCGACAGCCTTGCGGCGTACTTGATCTGGAAAACTCTACCTCATCCTTCTTCTTTCTTCTTCTTATTCTTTCTCTTTCTCTGTCTCCTCGCTTCTTCTTCCTTTCTCAAACCCAGATGTGGGTTTTTCTCAAACCCAGATGTGGGTTTTTCTCAAACCCAGATGTGGGTTTTTCTCAAACCCAGATCTGGGTTTGAGACAAACCCACATCTGGGTTTCATCACATTAGCAATAATCCACCGGCATCAAGCAGCGACCATCACCAAGACCATCATTGACACCGATCTGAGTGATCCTTGGTGGAACGCCACTCACGCGACCTCGAACCAGCATTTCGTCCAAAATAATCAATTTCAAAGACACACCCTTCAAGCTACAAACTCCAAGAAACACCCTTTCGCTCACCCTTCAAGCTACAAACTCCAAAGACACAATCAATTTCATAACTGAAAACCCACAAGCTTTCTATGCTGCATCTGCTAAAGGAAGAAAGGGGAGGGGGAAGATATATAGATAACAAGGGAGTGAAGCACG